CCCGTCTGAGGCTGCCAGCTGGCTCTGGGGGCGGTGCAGGGTCCCCGGCCGAGGGGGTGGGGGGCTTCCCGGGGTGCAGACCGCTGGTGGCTGCCCCAGGTCAGGGCTCGTCCACCCCCTGGCCTCAGCGAAGGCCCCACCGCTCGGCGCCCGGACTGCCCCTTCTCAGCCTGCCCGGTCTCAAGCCTCGGGGCCCCCCGCCCCCAGCGCCCTTCGCAGGCCCTCTGGCCCAGCCTCGCGGTGGGGGTCAGGGTCAGGCCCCGGCTGCCGGCTACACCTTGGGGGCCGCCACAGGACTTTCCTCCATGGCGCGGGGGTCCTCCCCTCCTTGTGACCCCGCCCCCACGCCGGGCCCGTAGCTCTCCCTGTCCGCTTGAGTTTGTTTCAAAAAGGAAATACGGGTGCGCGGAAGGCTGGGGCCCTCCCCCCGGGACCGGCGCGACTGCGTGAACGTGAACTGTCAATAAACGAGACGGAGCGCGTCCGCCCCAGAGCCGCTTCCCCTCGCTTGCTTGACCTCCGCCCCCACTCGGCCTCGCCTGCCCTGGGACCGAGCCGGGCAGGGTGCCCTCCGCGGGCCGAGTCCACGTGCTCGGCAAACGCTGGGCCGAGGCGGGCGGGGAGCACCCCCAGCCCGGGCCGCTGCCTGCCTGCGGCTCTGTGCTGGGACGCCGCGAGCTGCAGGGCAGGAGAAAGGCCCGGCTGTGGCCACCGGCCAGCAAGGCCTTGGCACCACGGGGCTGGGGGGGCAGGCGACCACCAGCCCACGGGCGGTAGGGGGCGTGTCCGCTGGGCCGAGGAGGCCGCAGGCCAGGTGGGCAGAGGTGGCAGCGGAGGGTCTTCCGGAAAGCGGGCGCTGTGGGGAGGCTGGCCCCCGGGGCGCAGAGAGGGGAGGCTGACAGGGCCCCCCAGGGGTCCCCATGCAGCCCTGCAGAGCCTCTGAGGGCTCATCCCAAAGGGCCACCCAGTGACGCCTGCCAGGGCGGGGGTCCTGAGGGCGAGAGCTGTGATGGGGCCTGTCCACTTTGGGGAAGGGTCGGGGGGAGAGAGCCCCGCCCGGCCCAGGTCCCCGGGACAGGCTGGTGGAGTCTCTGGAAGTGAGCACACTTGCGACGAAGACAGAGAGCCTGGAGCGGGGTGGGGGGGGCGCCCCTACCCCGCCCCTCGAGAGGCGGCCAGGGCCCTCGGGCACAAGGCACCAGAATGGAGGCGCTGGCCAGGCTGGGCTGCCACGGCTGGGCTGCCACTGGGCTCGTGCCAGTCTGCCATCTGGACCTTCTGCAGCCGCAGCATCCCGGAGGTGACCCATTTAGGGTGCAGGTGAACACCCCCGGGGTGCACGTGTGGCCTGGAGTCAGCAAGCGCCCACCCCACACTGCAGGGGGGTCTCAGCCGTGTCCAGGAGCCCCTGTGGGTCACCCCGGGGCAGCCCGGGAGGGCGCTCCACCCTCGCCCTTGGCCCTCCCAGCTGGCCACGGGCCACCCCATCTCTCGCCAGCTGGCCAGCATGGGACCCCGCAGGCCGGAGCGCGAGCTCCCTTG